TCCTATCTAGATAGGTACTTTGCGTGCCTGTGGATAAACTTAAAATATCGCCAGAAGCGAGAGTCGCCTGTAGTTTATACTTTCTGTATAATCATAATTCAATAATTAAAACACTTGAAACAAACAAAAAGTTGTATTGTGTATGGAACTGAGAACCACTTAGGGTTGTCACCAATATGAATATTCACGATGGACCGATGTCGGTTATGCTGAAACTTATTAATATTAATGTTTGAATAAATGCTAGGGAATTCACAGTTGACTGACAAAATGTGGCTCAAATTAATATTCGAGTGTCTGTTTGTTATGTTCCCAGTTTCCACTAAATATAGGTACAATTTTGTGGTATATAAATTATTGTACCTATCATGGTATACCACCAGATAAATGATAAATACTGTGATATGTTATGTTTTACTTAATATGTCGACGTTTGACCACTATCTCGCCTGATGGTAAGCGATGCGGCCGACGATGGAGCACGCCTACCTATGAATAACCTGTTCACTCGGGACTTGAAGACAACCAAGTCATATTTCATGGGAAAGACAGCCTCTGGCAAGGAACTCCATTCCTTAAAAATTATGTCACCTTTTTTTTTCATTGGAGTAATAAAAGAAATATTCTTCTCCACATTTGCCAACTGCCCTGAAATTGATACAAAGACGGAAGTTTAAAATTTATTCTAATACTCATCATCAGTCCCTCGTGTCGTGTTCGGAGATCGCAGTTAAATCATAAATAAGGTAGGACGCTGTGGGAAATATTTCAATCTCTACTCCGAAGTCGCGGAGAACCTAACGGGTAACCGGGGCTCCGGCTCGACGTGCAGGAGAAGGAACGGGGTGGTTTTTAGTCAGTAAGAGTCTGACACTCCCTTCCGCCTCACCCAGGCGGGAGCAGACATTCGATGATATTCCCCCCTTAAAAAAAATACCTGTTTTATATAAAACACATATACGTACCTATTCTTAGGAATAGTGACTGAATTTTTCCACTACAAAAGTAATTTACTAAATACTCAATACAGCTTCCTAAAACAGTAATATGCATACGCAAAGAAGTCTCGATTTGTGAGCATTATAATAAGGACATAAACCACTGAATCTCCTTTTAATAAAAGTTAAATATACTCTGAAGCCAGCAAGCAATGAAATACGAATATGATAATGTAATTTCCCGCAGTCCTGAGAATATTGCTGTGCGTTAAATGATTCTTATAGCTTATAGGTTATGAAGAAATCTGTGCAAAGTACTACTTGGTAAGCTAAAACTAATACTTGGTAAGATAAGGGAGCTGACTTTTTTACAACAAATTTCAGAAGCCTATAGATACCTAGTAGTACCTAAAATATATTTTTGTTATTGTGAAGATAACAATGCACATGTTAACACTAGAAAGGCCGGGAATCGAAATGATCTAGCGGCAGTTCTTGGCAAATCATTTATTTATATTTTAAATACTTATACTACTATCTATTATAAATCGGAAGAGTTTGTTTTTTTGTTTGAACGCGCTAATCTCCGTAACTACAAGTCTGATTTGAATAATTCTTTTTGTATTGGATAGCGAATTTATCGAGGATTGATACAAGCTATAAAACATCACGCTACGATCAATAGTTATGTATAATACAGCACAGATTATTATTAGAAGCTTTATCAAGCACCACGTCTGACATGCAGCTTGATAAAACTATCTATTGTAGGCCCTTCTAGCCTTTGTGCAAACACCTTCAGAATGCTATTGCTGCTTTCCCTCAGTCTGCGCAACACTGATGTCACTTTTTTGCGCATGATCGCGAAATAATCATCAGTGTGCGCATCCGCGAATATACCTGACGCACATACAACAGGTAATTATTTGAAACTAAGCGCAAAGAGGTTGTTACGATTTGAACTACCTACAGTACCTACATAGTCTACATACATATCTAATGTAGCTCATATAATTTATTATTCATGAAGGAACTTTAGCACAAGTTCGTCTGAAGGCTCCAGGCATTAGAATTACGAATTATTAATTACAATGTGTGTTGTTACCAGGGCAAGTTTACTGTTTTTTTATTTTCTGTAAAGGTCTTAAAGACGTTTGTTCTGTGTTATAAGGAGCTCTTACATCGACTATTTCATCGAACATGTATTTAAACTACATGATGGAACTATAGAGAGTAAGAAAAACGAATATTATTGGACGAATATTATGGAGTATATAAATATTATATAATTTCAAGTACAAATCCTGGCAAATAGAAGAAAGGTGATAACATTACTGATATATGTTTTTAAGGAGGGAAAATCATCGATTAACTTCTCCCGGCTAGGTGATTCGGAAGTTAGTGTCAAAATCTTACTGACTCTAAAAAAAAAACCACCCCGTTGCTTCTCCTGCGTTGACAGTTTACTGTTCAGCTATAGATATCTATCAACTGATTATAATAATTCAACTCGGACAACGACATTTTCATCTACTTACACCTCTTGATAATCAATACATTCTTGCCTACGACAAAATAAAATAAAGTAAAAGCAAGAGAGGAAGGAATTTAATTTCCCAGCGACCATTAGAAAGTGATAGGACCATTCACTTCTCCATTACACAAGACAAGAGCAGGTGTAGTGTAAAATAAAACTAATTGAAGAAATACCGCACGATTCTATAAAGACAGACTGAAGCAGATGGCAGCACCTTCGTTCTATTTCCGCCAATCAGTTAAATTGATGGCGGGCTGCAAATGTATTTCGACCAATGAAATTGCATTGTCAATTTGTGAAGTACCGTTGCGTTAGAAAAACTTTTATTTCATGTAGAAGGATCAACTATTATTATATAGTATCAACTATTATATAGTTATCATTTTACATTTAAGTATATATTTATTACATAGTATTGCCATTTTTATCTTTTATGTATTATATGTAGTCTGTAAGTTTCATTGACTGTTTAATTTGTTTTTTTATTGTTTTTCTTCTATTTTGGTTTTATTTTATTGTGCATCTACCACCCATTCCCAGATTCTTTTCAAAAATTCCATCCAAAGGTTGTCTGGAAGAAATCGCCGCGTGTGATAAGACCGCCCATTGTACTCAAATTACTATTGCAATGTTTACAATTTTTTTCTGTGTGTGCAATAAAGTATAAATAAATAAAAGGAGGCATGAAAGTTTAAATCAAAAGTACTACAAAATTTCTACAATTTAGAATAATGTGCTGGCTCATTTCATTTAGGGTCTAACCTAACCCCTTCTAAAGTTATCAGGTTATAAAATTAGAAATTTGACTTACTCCCCACTTCCATATTCCAATTTCAAATCAAATCCCATTTCCTTTACTGGAAATTGTGACAGTTTACGGCCAGTTCGTCCGTTGACTGTTTTCAATATAATATCGAGGCAGGTGTACACTCGCGCACAGTCGCTCTAATTGAAGTAATAGCATTTGGAGCGAACGATTCAATTTCGATGGCTATCCGGTTCAACGATGTACGCTCGGCTGGTAAAGTGTTAAGTGTTTTTGTTTTATTTTATTGCATCTTGTATTATGTACATATTTCCATCGAGTGCGAGAGCTCAAGTTCAAGAGGACCAGTATCTTATAATTGTATTACTATTATGTAATACTGTAGAGTTTGTTTGTTTGTTTGAACGCGCCAATCTCCAAAATTACTTGTCCGATATGAATAATTCTTTCTGTGTTATCATTGGAAATAACTGTTTATCGAGGAAGGTTTTTGTATAAAACATTACTCTACAATCAATAAGAGCCGAGCAGAGCGAGCGGAACCGCGCGGAAGTAACTTTCATCAATAATCCGTAAGCTTATTTATGTATAATATAATAATAGTAGTGGACGCCTATAGTGTAGTGGAACCCCGTGGGGGTTGGCAATAACCTCCTCGTTTGTAAGGTGTCACACTCGCATTGGCCACCACGAGCCGCATGCAAGTGGCAATATTTAAAACCGATGGCGCAGTATCAAACTCCGCCTTTGATCTAACGGGTCGACGCGACCGATGTCGCTTTGAAAAAGCGATTGTCGCAGTATCAATTACAAAAAGGCCGGTAACGCAACTGTAACGCCTCTGGTGTTTCAAGTGTCCATGGGCGTCGCTGGTTGCTTCAGGTGATCCATCTGCTCGTTTACCGGCTTATCCTAGAATAAATAATTGGGTGAAAAACGAGTGCGAGTTTGCAGTGGCCTTTGGCTTTTACGGCACTCGCATGAAAGTTACGGATGGTGTAGTGACAAATATTCTGTTGTCACCACAGCACACGCCTGAACTAACATAGATATAACAACAAATTCACTAAAACTACGTCCTGTACCTTCGTGTATTTGTTAGCTTTCCTCATTGACTCTCTCACGGCCGCGCAACTAATTGTTTGCGCGCCATGTTTGTGTGTTTAGGAAATCGTCTACCACACATCTTGATCAAATCTCTTCTAGTATTTTGAGCGTACTCAGATTTTATTTCTTTTGTTTGCTTCTTACTCTGTTATATAGAGATATTTAACTACAATCGATTGCAATGTATTCTTTACGGTATCGTAACTTATTTTTAGGGATTTAATAATACTAATATTTCGTTTCAACCACAGTCAAAAACCAGAATGATAGTACACAGTAGTAACTAGTACACCATCGTCTTGATTTATATGGTTCCTTACTTATAAAACGCTTATAGGTAAGAAAATGTTTGTAAAGTTATTTAGATTCGTACATGTATAGGTATCTAAATGAAAAATTACCATTTCATTTTACACATTAAAATTCCATATTATTTAGTATTTACGTACAAAAGGTTCCACTAAGCCCACAGCGGCGACACAAAATTATAAAATATCGTACCTGCCTTTATCACCCCTAATAGTGCTTTAAATAAATGTAAATGGAGAATAAATATCCCTGGTTGCCATAGCAACCGGTTGGTACTCCACAAAATTATTTGCCGAGTATCCCCTGAGGACTTTTATATTAATTTAAATCTCTCTTGTTACAGGGGTTTTGGCAAACAAGGATACCAGTGTCAAGGTAAGATTTAAAAAATGTAAATTAAATGGCGACTAAATGGTGTTATAGAAAATTCTATAATGAGAATGGTGTATTAATGAAACGATATGACGTTATGACTTCTGATTTTTGTAATCTAAATTTGACTGCACGGTTGGTGCGGTGGCTGGGCAACCGGCTGCCGTGCAACGTGTCGCGGGTTCGATTCCCGCACGGAACAACACTTTGTATGATCCACAAATTGTTGTTTCGGGTCTGGGTGTCATTGTGTATGTGAACTTGTATATTTGTAAACGCACCCACGACACAGGAGAAAATACGAATGTGGGGCAACGTTTTTAAAAAAAAAACAAAAAAAAATGCTATTGGGGGAATACTAGTTAATGTCCGTCTGGTAGATTAATTTAAAACATCAGACACGTATTTCCTTACAGATACAAATACTTTCGATGATATATTGATTTGAAATGTCGCGTGACGTCACTTCTAGAGACGTTTTATATTTAGAAATGACGTTTTACTCCCACTCCTAAACTTTGATTCGTTTTATCTAAGTAATGTTTTCTTATACGACAAAATAAAAATACGTATCATTGCCTCACTGATGGACTAATTAGATTTTTAATTTTCATACCCTGTTATCATCCCTATTGGATCTTGGAACAATTTATTTAAATTTTAAATATGCTGATGGATCAAACGGTCACATATTATTTTTTCTTTCTCATAATTAAATATATGTGCATATTCGTGTGCTGCGTGACTGTATATTTAAATATCTTAGGTGCAAACTAAACCCACGTATGTGTTATATTACCATCATAACAACGTCTCAAAATCGCTAAATCCATTCTCAATAGAATATATGAAACGTAGAATGTAAAAAACTCTTTCAAACATTTCTTTCACTAAGTAGTCTAAGAGCTAGATAAAACCTCTTTGTCGTCATCTTATATGTTATCTGTGCAGTGTGCAGCTTTGTGGTCCACAAAAGATGCCACGAGTACGTGACGTTCACCTGCCCTGGCGCAGACAAGGGCGCGGATTCCGACGTGAGTATTGCCAGCCTTTTTATTTTATTTTTACCCATTATTGGTGGAAAATTTACTGGATTTTGTTGAAAGGGTTTTTGTGAGTATACATGTTGAATTTTTGGACAATGTTTGTGTTTCAAGTGTGAAAATGTGAATTTGAATATTAAGGTTTTGTTTATTGATATTAGTAGGTATAAGTACATACATATATGTCCTTCGTGATATGAAGGTGGATTGCATTGCTATGTAAGGTAATGGTATACTTTTTATATGTATAAGCTAAGTTTGTTTAAAATATTTTCAGAAATGGTAGGTTGAATAAATACAGTTTATACTGTAAATACAATACAACAACACATTCGATTATTACCCAACAGTAAAACATATACACACTACCATTTTATTTTAAATCTACAATACAACAGTTATTTACATACAAACAACACATCAAAATAATATTTTTAATTAACAATTAACACAATTTGTTGGCAGAAAGCATAAAGTAATTATTTGTATATCAGTTTGCGTGTACGCCAACTCGAGTGGGCTCGCCCATCAACAAGTACCGCGCAGTGCACTCAAACTTAATGAGTTTCTGTTTCATAAATACTTACATAGTATACACAATTACAGATACACAGGAAAAACAAAGTAGGGCGACTTTGTTTCCACATCCATAATTGTTTTGAATAGTTACAGTACTATTTACACATTAAACACAGAATGTAGTATTCAATATAATTTTTCCATGTGATATTCATATAAATTCAGCTATCTCTTCGACTATTATAACCAATAAAATTGTGATTTAAAAATAAATTGGTTCATTTTACGTACTTTCTTAAAGAATTCACTCTTCGTTAATTAAAAATGTTTAAAAACTTTTATAATGCAGGAAGAATGTTAAATGGAAATTAATTTTCAGTTAACAAAATGTCGAACAGGAAACCGTCGTTGATCAAGCTTTATGTTTACATAAACGAACATCTTCTTCCCTTCTAGAATAATTTGATGATTTTGATAATTCCAAAATCTACATGTATTTCAATCTCAAAAATACGAAACGAATGGATATAAATAAACAACGTTAAAGATAATTAAGTCCATAATTTTCGCGGAGAAAATTAGCGCCATACTCTTTCATTAGTAGCTAACCCAATCGATCAGAGTAAAATATGATAGGAAAATTTTCTCATAATGAAAATAGACGAAAACCTAATACAAAAGCAGGTCACGAAGATTAAAATCGAGTCTCAGATACAAAATTGTTTAATAATGGTTCATCACTTCAAATAATACGTTATTAACGTCAAGCGGCCATGTTGAATTAATTGGCGGGAATGAGACACCGCCATTTTGTTGCGTTTCAAATAGATCACAATTGGTGCAATTTGTTGTAACAGCTCTGTTATTAAATGGTGTAGGGGTAATTATGTTGTCTAGTGTATGTATGGGAACTCGTTTGTTAAATACATTGTAAATGGCCAATCAAATTGATTAAATTGCAAATATTTTTCAGTTACAACGACATTGTGTATATTGTGAGAACATAATCAATAGCCTTATAGGACAACGATGTATGTGACAACATTTTCTTTGATACGTGGTAATGTAAATTCTGAACATTCAATTAAGTAACTGAATTTACGAAATTAAGCAAGCAAATAAAGATATAATTGAAATAATACTCATTAAGAGTTAATATTTAATCCAATTAAGAAGGTAACCTTTATGTTAATTAAGAAGAAGAAATAAGCAAATAATGAAATAAATAAATAAAAGATATGCCTCAAGAATTGCCTAAGATTATCGTTACTAATTTAACCTTATATCATCATCATCATCATCATCAACAGTCTATAAATGACCACTGCTGAGCAAAGCTTCTTCTCACACGAAGAACGTTTAAGCATTAAACACCACGCTTGCTCAATGCGGGTTGGCGATTACAAACTTATAATTAGAAATTATAAGCCCCGGTTTCTTTATGACGTTTTCCTTCAATGTTTGTCAGTGGTGTCTAAATAATCTTAGAAAGTACATATAACTCGTAAAAAGTCACATTGGTACTTGCCGTTGGTAGGTTTCGAGCCTGCACCCTCATCTATGAGAAACGGGCGTCTTAAACTTCCAGGCCACCACAACCTTACATTAACCAAGTGTTAAATAAAATTAGCACTTTGAATTGACAAATAAGGTACACAATTTAAATTACAAAATGTAACAATTGTTTTTGTTTACAAAGCCGGTGTTTTGGAACTGCGTTTGGAAACTTCAAAATGGTTAAAGTTGTGCTGTTTTAGTGTTGTTTAGTTGTCACCTTGTTGCTTGCTTTGATAGTGTAATTGTTAAAATGTGCAACAATGTTGTTGACTTTTAGCTTACAATTTGGCGCTAGTGAGGTCAAAAGTCTTGATAGTCTAGTGGTTGACAGCCATTCTCCATGAAATAATGTTTTATGAAAATGTAACTTCTGCCCGCAACTTCCAACGGGTAATCCCATGTTTTTCCGTTCCCGTGGGATTTTCGTTGTCCTGTTTCTAAGTTACCAATGTTTAGCCAAATCGTTGTTGCCGTTCTTGAGTGAGAAATAACTAACACGACTTTCTTTTTTATATAATTATGTAGGTATAGTATTAAAGTATTATTTGCAGAATTGCCGCGGCGAACCTAACGAGTTCCCGGGGCTCCGGCTCGAAGTGCAGGAGTACGAAGTGGTTTTTAGCCAGCAAAAGTCTGATACTCTCTCATCTCATCAAGTCGTTCGATGATCCCCGCCCCCCTTAAAATCGTTTTTATAAAAAACAAGAATTACAACAAAAATTGGCAATTCCTTATTCCTTGGCAGTGGAGCATGTGACCAATGTATTAGAAAAAGTTTTCTCGAAAAAGTATAAGTGTAGGTTAGGTACTTACCTAACCTATACTTATAGGTTTAAGTATTTCCCATCACTTCTGGACTATTTACTAGAGAGTGACAGTATCTAAATACGACTGCCATTTACGAAATATTTGGACCGTGTAAATACAAGGTCTAAGCTTCACTGCCTATGTATTACGATACTGTATAATTTATTTATTTATTTAACATTTAATGTCCAAATACTCAAACGCCCCTCAATTTGAAATCTCGTTTAAGTTATATCACTTTTTTTTAAGGGGGGAAAACCATCGAATGACTGGTCCTGTCTGGGTGAGACGGGAGAGAGTGTCAGACTCTTACTGACTAAAAACCACCTCGTTCCTTCCGCTAAGCCGGTAAACGAGCTGATGTATCACTTGATGGTAAGCAATCGGCGTCGTCTATACCTGGAACACCAGAGGCGTTAAAAGTGCGTTACCGGCCTTTAGGGGATGAGGAATTTGAGCATTGTTGGGGATTCCAGGATTGGAGAGATAGGGGGAGGGGGTAATTGGGCCTCCGGTAAACTCACTCACACGACGAAACACAACGCAATACGGTTTCACGTCGGTTTTCTGTGAGGCTGTGGTATCACTCCGGTCGAGCCGGCCCATTCGTGCCGAAGCATGGCTCTCCCACACTTAAATTTTTTCATAATGTTATTCAAACGAACAGTAAGAGAGGGTTAATTAAGTTGGAAAAGATAACATTTTTATGAGTTCTCCGAGTGGCTACTTAAAAGACATTGTTTGTCTGACAAGAATTAAGTAGCTAATTAAAAGTTACATAATGGTGTTTAGGTACCTAAGTACTAACTTTGAAATATCCAGGTCATTTACTTTCGTTATTTGTGGGATTTATATTATTTTCCTAAAAAATCTTAACAGCACGTCAAGATAACCTTAACTTTGATAGGTTTTCGACTTTATTGCTTGTTGAATAGCATTAATGCCGGAATACTGAAACGTTACTCAATTTTAAGTCGTGCTTAAATATCGTATCGCTTAAATATCGCCATCTCTGTCATTTTACAAAGAATTTGCGGAGACAGAACTATACTTAAGCGCGACTTAAAATTGAGTAGCGTTTGAGTATTCCGACAAAAGTCGATTAAATAATTTGACAGTTTGCAGCAGCTTGATGTGTCAAATTATTATACAGATAAAAGATATAAAATTGATTCGTTAAACAGACATAGACATAGGAACGTTGTTTTGCTATTGAGCCGACTAATGGTGACAAAAGATATGGCTTCGTTAAAAGCATACGATTTCATAATAACTACTGTAACTGCCTAATTCAAACTCAAAAGCATTTATTTACGTTATAATATTAAACCATAATTTGGTACTTTTGTACTAAATCACGTGAGTGAGGTTACCGGACGCCCTATTACCCTCCCCTTCCCAAATCCCTAAATCCTCAACGATCCTCAAAGTCCTAATCCCCAAAAGGCCAGTAACGCACTTGTAACGCCTCTGGTATTCCAGGGGTGTCCATGGGCGACGCCGATCCCTTACCATCAGGTGATCCATCGGCTCGTTTACCGGCTTACGTTTACGGCTGTAAAAAAAACATAATTTGACTATCTGCACATTTGATGTCCATTTTATCCGTTATTTATAATTATAACCAAACTATAACTCCTTTTAAACTTCTGTGAAACCACAAAGAAGAACTACGTAGTTTAAAATACATAATTACGTTGAAATAAATATCTTTTAAACTTTAAATGTTATTTTCGTTGTTTTAATGATATTCGCCGCCGCCTCAGGCGTTCATTTGCGAAGTTTTGTGTTCATTTCGTTAAGGAAAGGTCACGGGGTATTTTTTTATTTTTGTCGCTCATAAATGTAATATTTAAATGAGTGTAATGTCTGACTACTGGTATAGGAATAGGAATGATACAATACTTATACAGGGTGTTGTTTTAAAGCCGCGTCATTTTCTAGGAGGTAACTCGGATATCAATTCTGAGTCGGAATCAAAACAAGAAATTGTAGGTAAATATTTTTCATTTTTCTGTAATTTCGGAAATCCGTAAGTGCGAAGTACACGCCGCCATCTTGTAACTAGCTTTATAACGCGGCTTAACACACACAAACTCAAACACGTAATTGATATTATTCCTATTCCATAAAACTCCAATAAGAAACATTGCTGTCGCTTATTCTGAAATACTGTCGAACTTAAACGATTTATTAGAGCTGTATTTTTAACTAAAAAAAGTTCGAGATTAAAGCAGTTTGACTAAAAAAAAATACCAACAGCCAGTATTTTAAATCTTTGTAAATCACATTAAATTCAGAATGTACCATAAGTACCACTAACAATGAATTTTCTGTCCATCTACATAAATATAATTTACTTAGAACTAATTTGTAACCAGCTTGTATATTTAAGCAAAATTCTACCTAAGTTTAATAGCACAAAGTTTCATAATAGAACAAGCGACTCTTTGTTTCAGACTTTATGTAGGAAATGCATTTAATATTTTACCGAGAGCAGTTTCTTTTAATGTTATTCTAATTCTCTTTTTCTTTTTAAAACAAGGTAAGAATTATAGTGTATTTACGACATAGTGAACTGTTCTATGTCCCGGAGAACCTAACGGGTTACCGGGGCTCCGGCTCAAAGTGCAAGACAAGGAACGGGATGGTTTTTAGTCAGTAAGAGTCTGACACTCCCTCCCGCCTCACCCCGACGGGAGCAGTCATTCGATGATTTTCCCCCCTTAAAAAAAAGTGAATTGTTCTATGGATTATAACGGGTAGAAAAAGAAAATGCTTTAAGATAGGTAAAGCTAATTAAAATTAAGGAATAACAATGTGCTATTTTGCTGCTTCTGTCTATTTGAAAGAAAAGAAGAAATAAATACAGATATTTATATAGATAAAGAAAAAAACAAAGAAACGACAGAGTATAACAACACAGTGACAATTCAATATTAACACAGTAATTAAAAATTAATATAACAAGATATAAATAAATAACATTTAATGGCGCGTGATCTTGCCAAAAGGGCCTTCATCTCAGCATTAAGTTTAGTATACATGCCCAACGCTGATTTTCAGATGGCACCCTGCAGTGACTGTGTACTTAACCTTTTGTTTGTCAATACATGAGACAGAATAGAAAACACATTGTGTCTCACGTAGATTGGCTTTCCGACACTTCACAGATTAATCTATATTTTTTTATATGGCATAAGCCGGTAAACGAGCAGTCGGATCACCTGATGGTAAGCAATCGGCGTCGCCCATTGACACCTGAAACACCAGAGGTGTTACAAGTGCGTCACTGGCTTTTTGGGGATTAGGAGTTTGAGGATCGTTGGGGATTCAGAGATTAGGGAGATTGGGGAAGGGGAGGGTAATTGGGCCTCCGGTAACCTCACTCACACGACGAAACACAACGCAAGCGTTGCTTCACGTCGGTCTTCTGTGAGACCGTGGTATCACTCCGGTCGAGCCGGCCCATTCGTGCCGAAGCATGGCTCTCCCATACTTTATATAAATAAAAATGTAATTTCCCTACGTTACTCTCGCTAAATCTCTAGAACGGCTAAACTAATTGGGCTAATTTTGATCTTGAAATAGATGTTCGTGGAAGTCTGTAGAAGAAAAAAACGTAGTCGGTACTCGAAGTCGGTACTCAAACTTCTTTTTTTTGAGGGGGGAAATCATCCAATGACTTCTCTCGCCCGTGTGATGCGAGAGGGACTGTCAGACTCTTACTGGCTAAAAACCACCCCGTTCCTACTTCTACACTTCGAGCCGGAGCCCCGGCAACCCGTTAAGTCTTCCGCGGCTACAACACGAACTTTTGAATTATGTTTTGCCTATAAGAAAAACTTAGGTACATGAAGGTAACCTGGCGTAAAAGTAGGTGTTTACTTTCAGGTCATGTACATGCAGATCTGTCTCAGGTAATAACAATCATAAAGTGTCGAGAATCTCAATTAGTCGACATATTAGTTAAAGCGAGTGCATCTAACATTCCTAGCATGTACCGCTCGAGGCAGACTCGGAACATAGTTACACACACACACACACACATAGTTACACTCAAGTTACACGCCATCTCCTGTACCGCTGCGGGCTATTTGACGTGCTCAAGTTATCATACTGGAATGAATACATGATCAGCAAGTTCATAAATATTTGATGTTAGTTATTTTATTCAGCTCAGATAAAACATTTTTTTTTAACTGGGGAAAATCATCCAATATCTCCCGCCCGGGTGAGGCGAGAGGGAGTGTCAGACTCTTACTGACTAAAACCCACCCCGTTCCTATTCCTGCACTTCGAACCGGAGCCCCGGTAACCCGTTAAGCCCTCCGCGGCTCCGTGTCGGCATCAGCCCTATTGGACCCCATCTGTGGTGGTCTAATGGCTCCTTGAGGCGCGCATGAAACTCGGACCTGGTTCTGGTCAGACGGCGGGTTACCCGTGCTCGCCGTCCGCAGGAAGTATTTTATGTTAGTTGTTTTATCCATTCAGATAAAATATTAGTCTGCCTCGTTGACCGAGTGGTCGCAAGTGTGACTGCCGGGCAAGGGGTGTTCGATTCCCGGGTCGGGCAATATATTACTGGATTTCAAAAAAAAATTCAGTAGTAGCACGGAGTCTTGAATTTTGCCCGGTATATGTCAATAGGCTCACCCCCTATTACATGAGACTCATAATATAAATAGTGAAAAGTGGTACATTGTACAGTGGCATTAAGTGCCGTAATGTGCACATCTACCTCTTATAAAAACAAACTCTATTAAACACAAAATATCAACAACAGTTTCTAGTTTCGCAAAAGACGCAGTAGGTAACACGGGGTCAATACTTTAGTTGGCCCGATTGTTTTCGGCAACACCTTCCAACCGACATATTGTGTGCCTGGAAAATAGTCATTTAAACATTGGAGTGAAATTGGCGCCAACGTTTGAACCAACATGTAGAGCGTAGAACCAGTGTTAAACCAAACAAAATTAAATACGAATAAAATCCTCCATTTACCCTGTACCAAATAGAAAGCCAATTACAAAGTGTAGTTATTTTAATTGAGAATTTTAAATGTTCCACGTTCCAGCTAAAGGAAAATAAATACTATTCTGAATTCAAAACGGTTGAGTTGGCTTTATTTTTTTTTTCTGTGTCTATGGATCGATAGAACCAATTTGCATTTCAATTATCGATATCAATTATCTTTACTTTATAAAGTACGTTGGTATTGTCTATGGATCGATATCGTGAATGTATAGCTTGCCTTTAATAAGGTACCTATGAGGCTTTATGGAATTATACCTGGCTGTCATCGCATCATCAATTACTAATAGTAAAATAATAGATTATGCGGTTGAGTACGTTAAGTATATTTAGCGTAAAGTTTAATACTAGTAATATACTTTCGATACCTTAATTTAAAGTTTTATCACATTTATTCATTATTTCTGAGCCTTTCCTGTGTCTAGTTCATGGACAAAATGCTGTAGACATTTTTAGTCACCATCATCATCATCAACAGCCTATGAGTGCCCACTGCTGACCAAAAGCCTCTTCTCACACGGATAAGGTTTGAGCATGAATCACTACACTTGCTCAATGCGTGTTGGTAATTTGAAACTTATAGTTAGAAAGTACATATAACTCGGAAAAGTCACATTGGTACTTTGCCGTTAGTAAGTTTCGAACTTAGCGTCTTAAACTTAAACCTCCGGGCCACCACGACCACACATATTTTGAGTAATAATATAATTATTATGGTCAATGCTATTAATCAATCAATCAATATCAATAATTTTAATAGATTAATTATACTAACTTTTAATTATTTCTCAACAAACAACAATTTATAATACGTTTTAAAACCATTAATAATAAATGACTTTGTGCCTATTAAAATAATTTATGTTCCAATAACCAAACCTTTAACACAATAAGTGATTTATTCGATTCAAAATGGAATATTGCTAAAATGCTTAACTCGAAAATAATTAATAGTTTTAACGAAGAGTGGATTCCGTAATTGTTGTACCTACATCAAAACATTTCCGACAATTAACGCGTGTTTACACTGGATCATGTTTTGGTTCAATTAATGTACACTTTGAATCTAATATTTCCATGATTTAAAGCGTAATCCACTATAATTAGATACTAGGAAATCATAAAACCAAAAACAATGTCAATAATATAAAAACAATCTACATACAAAAACACAAACACACACACAGAAAAAAATTAACACAAAATTGTTATTGTACTTTTTTTTACATCAACAAAACATACTTTTACATTCAAAAGAAGGATGTTACTACATAATAAAATATTTCCACATAACTACCCTTAATTAAAAATCAATGACAATAATCAATCTGGTAAGTAGACACAATCCTACAAAACGACGCATTACACTGACAGGAATCTAATATATCCATGATTTAAACTTAAAAACGTAATCCAATAATTACTAGGAAATCATAAAACAAAAAAGCAATTGCAATAATACAAACACAATCTACACACACACATTTAACAAATATGATACTTATATCATTAGAAAGAGATATTATAATCGGGTAATACATTTTCCCCAACTACACATCCAATCCATACTTACACATCAATCACAATAGTTTTGGTAAGTACAGCCCTACAACAGACTATGGATTACACTGACACCATGACGTCATAAACTCGGGTTCGTGCGACAGTAACACTAAATGACTGGCCTACAGGATACACGCACGAAGCACAACTTCCGCAGCTGCACATACTCGTCCCCGACGTTCTGCGACCACTGTGGCTCTCTTCTGTACGGCCTCATCCACCAGGGCCTCAAGTGTCAAGGTACCAAGCGACCGCGGAAGTAACCCACTAACGCTTGGAAATGCTTCTGTGTTCTAGAACTTTCTTCCAGATCGGTGATGGTGCTTTCTGCTAATGCTTTTTTAACTCTTCTGTGTTCGTAGACTCTTTAGGTTTGCCTTCTTTAGTAGGAACGCTCTCGCTCCCAACCGGGTTTTTATTTGTGCTTAAATTTATAATGATATGTTTGTGATTGTAAAGGCGGCCTACGCTCCTCACAAATGGAACACGTGGACATTCCTTGCGCCAACTTTTTGTGAACACTGCGGTACATTACTCCATGGTCTCGCCCATCAGGGATTAAAATGCGGAGGTATAATATAGTCGTATCTATAGAATGACACTAACAAGAGGAAACTAGTTCCTGGATAGCGAATGCTTTAACACGAGAAGACTAATGTATGCCTTTGCAACTAAACAGTCAATGTTGTCAGCACAAGACGGTACTGAGTCCCAGGCATCACGTCAGCTCCCATTAGTGAGACAAGGAGGTCCCTTTGCACGAAATGTTATGGATCGTGAATAAATGTGTATAATAAATGTCTGGACTATTATAAAGAAGTTCCCCCTTTTAGGATCGTTGGAGAAATTCAATTTGCTTCTGTTTATTTTAATTTGTTTGCCTGTTTATTCCTGTGTCTACTGCAGCTGAGTTTGTTTGCTGTGTTGCACGTCTTTGCATTAAAGTTGGTGTGCACGTAGTTTGATGTAGTTTGTTATTCTATGAAGCTTTTGTTATATCGCTTGTAAGTGGAGCGTTGACAAAGGCTTCACCGGCTACTGCAACTTGTGTGACTTGTGTTTCTGTGTTACTTTGTGAATATCTGTTTAACTCTGTAATCTGTCTTTATGCAATTTTAGTTACTATGTAGCTTATAATAGCGTGTCTAAATGAAGTCTAACTATTTTTTGATTGACATATTACTGTTATCTTTTTTTCTATGACACGTTGTGTTTCAAAATGAAGTGAGAGTGACGGAATACACAAATTGTTTCTGTCACTATACAGATCATTAACGACTTCATATTATTATTTCTCATTACACATTTTACAGAATTGAATTACAAAAAAAATGTTAGTGTTTACTTTTATTTTGATTACTAAAAACAAACTTAAATCATTATTTAGATTCATCACTTGGAAAAAGAATTTTAAACAATCGTAAATAATAAGTGGAAAAAATAATGCCAGTAACAAAATATTGATCGTATTTGCTTCGTTACGTTGGTATTACCGGTTTCCTCCCCTTATATTATTTCATTAATTACCGGAGCCGAATATATATTACACCCTAACGTTATAATTATCCTATTACAAAGGTAAATTCATTCATTTCTCTTCTTAATTTTGTTTGTTTTTGCATGTTCTTGTTTGCATGATATTGTTACATTTTTAATTAGAATGTCTGTGATGTTTTTTTGTAAATCATTCCCAAATGCGAAGCCTTTATATGATTGAACTTTATGTATTCACTTCTGTAATATCTCACTTGGTTAAGTACACAGCGACTACGATGACACATGACTGCGCGGTGGCTTAGAAACCGGCTGCCGCGCAACGTGTAGCGGGTTCGAAACCCGCACGGAGCAACTTTTTGTGTGATCCACAAATTGTTGTTTCGGGTCTGGGTGTCATTTGTTATAAACGCACTCATAGGAGAAAATCCTAGTGTAGGGCAACGCTTTCTAAAAAAAAGCGCAATCTCGAGAGTAATGTAAAATTAAAAGTAGGATTTGCATTTAAAATTCTATAAAATACTACTTAGTCTTTGTGTTTGTGATCTGTTTAATAACAAATTCGCTTCTCATTGTACTGTGACAAAAATTTTACAAAATACTTACACTTCTAGCTCGCATTTCTAAAAAATAAAGCCGTGATTATGTATCATTATTATGAATGGATTCGAAGAGTACTAAAAATTTAATATCAGCGATCTTTGAACTCTTTAACATGTATGAAGCAATTTATCATTGAATGCTTCAATTGGGAATGATTTACGATAGCATTGCAAACATTCATTATTATTCTATCTCTTTACATTAAAAATGTCTTTAGAGTTAATAACTTTCAGTTTTTTGAGGGCCTATAGCAATATAAACATAGGTATTTGTGTCGAATAAATACGTTTTTAATTTCCAAATACATTATTGCAAAGGTCTGTATTTACATAGTATTAAGCTTCCTTGTGCGTACTGCTAAGGAGTGGAATTCTTTACCAGAGTCTGTATTTCCTGAAGGGTATAATAACCTGGGTGTCTTTATGGCCTGAGTGAATAAGTTGCTTATGGGACGACGTGCTCCATCGTAGACCGCATCATCACTTACCACCAGGCGAGATAGTGGTCAAACGTCAGCCCATCAAATATAAAAAAGTATATTTATTAGACATATACAAACACTTTTTTTTTCATTTGCCAAACTATATTTGGAGTAAACACAGACTTACAATACCTATAAGTATAATTATAATTTCAGAATCAATTGATCAGTCTTGATTCCTTTCTGAATTTTAATAAAAAATCTATATCCTTGGACAAACTAACACTATATTTCTTGAATCGAACAACTGCTGTAGTAATTAAAATATTAAAGGTACAGCAACTTCAAAAATGACAATAATCCTTTTACTTTACCCGACTACGGCGAAGCTATAGGTATAGAAGTAATGATTTTTACAATAAAATGGTTAGCTTTTAGGTACTTGTTCTTAGTGGTAACAAAACAAAGACAGGGACTGCCAAAATTATTCATATTTTGCCTTTTTATATCGATTTTTTTTCTTTTAAAATATATATCTATGTGTCAAATAAATTAAAAAGCTGCTTAACATTATAGCATGCGACATGAACGTCCACAAACGTTGCGAGGAGTCGGTGCCCAACTTGTGCGGTTGCGACCACACGGAGCGGCGTGGGCGCATCCAGCTCACTGTGTCTTGCCAGGGGAACAAGCTCACTGTTGTGGGTAAGTCATAGGTTGAAATAGTTTTTGTGTTAATCAGTTTGTGATTGATCGAGTCGTTGTTAGTATTATAACATAACATCACGCTTTTTATCCCCGAAGGAATAGCAACATTATGGCACTTAATGCCAGTGTAAAATGTAACACCCACTTTTCACTATTTATGTTATAACATACATACATATGTACATACATACATACATAACATCACGCCTTTCATCCCCGAAGGGGTAGGCAGAAGTGCACACAGAAGTAACACCCATTTTTCACTATTTATGTTATGAGTCCCATGTAATAGGCTCACCCCTATTACCATATACCGGGCACAATTCCAGACTCCGTGCTACTACTGATTTTTTTTAAAACCCAGTAATACTTTGCCCGACCCGGGAATCTAGGCAGTCGTTGTTAGTATGACTGCCAACTTTTGATTTTTGTACAAATACTTTAGGGATTTTTTTGTTTCTCGTAATTTTCAGTAATGGTACGGAATAATAATCGATTTTGCTATTATTACTGATTATTTGTATTGAAACACTATCGATTGAAGTTAGCTCTAAAATTAAAAGAGTGAATAGAGCATCCAACTTCGATAGCAATAAACAAATTACGTCTTTAAAATGATTAATTGATGGCATTTTTGGTAAAGTTTCGAATACTTTCAATTGTTTTTTTGTCTCAGGATGATTCGCAATGTTTTTAATACTGAAAGTTTCAATGCTCCATAGAGTAATAAAGCTATTTTGGAACGGTTTTGTAAACTAATTGATTGCTAACGAAAAAACGTTCGTTCATCCTTCAAAAACTTTAGTATTTATAATTAAATATTTATTCATCATCATCAACAGCTTATAAATGCCCACTACTGAGCAAAGCCTCTTCTCACACGGAGAAGGTTAGAGCATTAATCACCACGCTTGCTCAATGCGGGTTGGCGATTACTAACGTATAACGAAAAATTATAAGCCCAGGTTTCATCACGATGTTTTCCTTCACCGTTTGTCAGTGGTGTCTAGATAATCTTAGAAAGTACATATAACTCTGAAAAAGTCACATTGGTACTTGCTGTTGGTAGATTTCGAACCCGCACCCTCATGCATGAGAAGCGGGCGTCTTAAACCTCCGAGCCACCACGACCATTATAAATGTTTATTCACAAAAGCCAATTTTAAAACTTCCGCTGTTTGACAAAACAATAATAATATCCTTAAAAATTATAACCTTTTTGAAATATTTCAAAAAAGTATATACTGTGGATAAATTAAAGCGACGCATTTTTCATTTAACTTGAAACTAGGTACCAAAACCAACAAAACACAAGTAATAAAAAAAATGTTAACCCCGTTCTTCTTCCCACAGTCATACAAGGCCGCAACTTGATCCCGATGGATCCCAATGGTCTGTCGGATCCCTACGTCAAGATGAAGCTCATTCCGGATTCGGATAATGTGAAGAAAAAAACTAAAACCATGAGGAGCACTCTTAACCCTGTGTGGAATGAGACCCTGACTTTTGACCTCAAGCCTGAAGATAAGGACCGGAGGCTGCTGATTGAGGTAAGGAATATATTTAACCCTTAATTTTTTTATGGGATTAGCCGGTAAACGAGCAGACGGATCACCCGATGGTAAGTAATCAGCGCCGCCCATGGACACCTGGAACACCAAGGCGTTACAAGTGCGTTACCGGCCTTCTGGGAATTGGGAATTTGAGGATTGTGGAGGATTCGTGGATTGCGGAGACTGGGAGATGGGTAACTGGGCCTCCGGTAACCACACTTACACGACGAAATACAATGCAGGCGTTGTTTCACGTCGGTTTTCTGTCAGGTCGTGGTATCGCTCCAGTTAAGCCAGTCACTATCGTGCCGAAGCATGCCTCTCCCACACTTAATTAAAAAGTACGGCTAACTTACGTAGACTATTGGGGAAAAGCTGTACTAAGACGTAAGACTGCTCATGAATATGAGTCCCGGTGTGACTTGAAACTTGTAGAGCTTTTCTCGAATACTTTATGGGCGAGGTTACCGCAGGCTTAACCTATTTAAAAACTAAAATGCATGTTCTCATTTACTTACATAAACAAATAGTACTTGTACCAAGATGGCGGATATTCAACCTTTGAATTTAAATTTCGAACAAATAAATGATAGAGGCCAAAAACATATGATGACATTATTCGAATGTCACTTCAAAGAACTAAAATGATAAATGAGTAATGAAAGCAGATAATATTTTTGAGTAAAATTTCGTTAAATATTTTTCTAGAATAATTTTAACGTTCATTCTTATGCTTGCAATTCATTACGGTTGTCAAATCTGAATTAATTTAGTTTGTCAAGTGTTCAAAATTATTTTCTCGTTAGGCATTCATATTAAAATACTTTTAGAAGCATAGTTGCTTGAAATTCAATGAAATTTTCAAACTTAATGAATTTAATATTATTACAATAATAAATTCTTCCATAGAGATCAGGATTAGGAGATTAACGTTATTTAATTTCTATTTAGTTTGACGTTGTAACCAGGTTTAATGGCCTAGACAAAGCTTAACATTCTACAAATTACCGCGGCTCCGGCTCGATGTGCAGGAGAAGGAACGGGGTGGTTTTTAGTCAGTAAGAGTCTGACACTCCCTCCCGGCTCACCCAGGCGGGAGCAGTCATTCGATGATTTTCCCCGAATTTCGTGTTATTAAAACAAACCTAATTTCACTAAATAGAAAGTTCACATTGCAACGAGCAATCAACACAGCGATAACCAGTTTGTTTCTCAACTCCTCAACCTTGTCTCATGTTCTAAAATTTCCAGATATGGGATTGGGATCGTACTTCCCGCAACGATTTCATGGGATCTCTGTCCTTCGGGATCTCCGAGCTGATGAAGGCGCCAGCTGACGGCTGGTTCAAGCTGCTGACTCAGGAAGAAGGTGAATTTTACAACGTACCAGTACCCGAGGAAGGCACTGACCTCGCTCAGTTGAAGAACCAGATGAGAGCGACCAGTGTTGGAGCTCGTAGACCTCCACCTCCGCCTGATAGGGAGGTCCCGCATAACATGGCCGCCGCTGACGTCATCAGGGCTTCTGATTTCAACTTCATCATGGTCCTTGGTAAAGGATCCTTCGGCAAGGTGAGTCCTGTAGATACATATGTTAAATTCTGCATGCTATCTTTGAAGACATCCTTGTCGAATACCAATCATGTTAATAGTTCCAAAAATCTATTAAGAAGTGCCGAACTTAATTTTCTTGAAACAATACACTTATGTCCAACTCCAATAACCACCACGAGGACGTTATTCTTTCAAATTGAAGCAAGTCTATATCTGAAACTACTGGTCATTGTACCCTCCATCGAATTTGGACGAAATTTAAAAAAATATGTAAGGATTTTTACTCGCAAAGAACTACCAATTCTATTTCAAATCTAGTCGAGTGTGCAGTGGAAATAAAAAAGGATGAAACAGTCACTTAACGAGGCGGAGACTAACTTTTAGCGAGTTGTCACGCGTCGTGGAGTATCTCGACAAAAAGCACATTCGAACAAACTTGTCCTATCAGCTACTCTTACATTTCGTTTTTCACTTAACGTTTGGCTTGCGTTTGGAAACATTTTAGGGTTAGTTACTGCTCTCTGACTGCGTTTAATGTATCTAACTGGAGTTGCTGCTTTCTGATGCTGTATTTAACGTATAAACCTGCTTTTCTGAGTTTCTCTTTTATCAAATCGGTCGTTGATTATAAATTATCGATTGGTCATTCTGTCTTTCTTCAATCTATGATACAAAAATTTTGCAGATTGGATTGAATTAAAGGAAAACAACTCCTCATTTCTTTCGTTTTATCCAGGTAATGCTAGCCGAACGCCGCGGCACAGACGAGCTGTATGCCATCAAGATCTTGAAGAAGGACATCATCATTCAGGATGATGACGTGGAGTGCACCATGGTGGAGAAGAGAGTGCTGGCTCTCAGCAGCAAGCCACCATTCCTGGTGCAACTGCACTCCTGCTTCCAAACTATGGTAAGTGACAGTACTTCGTCTGTATTCAGTAATTTTGGCAGAGCAATTTAGTGAAATCTGATTACCTAGAAATTAAGATTCCTAAGAATATTATTAAAATTAGGATTTTAAATATTAGTAAAGTTTTGTTACGACAATTAGAAATTTGAATAACTCTAGGATAGAGATAGAGGTTTTCTTAAGAAATAATATTAATTGAATCTATAATAGAAAAGGCTTACATACGAGGAATTTTTACGAGGAATTAAACAGTTTTTTAACATCGCATTTCTCTCCAGGATCGTCTGTACTTCGTGATGGAGTACGTCAACGGCGGCGACTTGATGTTCCAGATTCAACAGTGCGGGAAATTCAAAGAACCTGTTGCCGTGTATGTATACAAACATTATTTCATTAATACTTTAATGTAACTTTACTGTCTACAATCCAGTATATCCATCCAAAGACATTGTTTCTTCTATTATTTATAGGTACCTGTTCAACAGGAATTCTATTTGAACTTAAACTAATCTAGGCGCTTTATCTATCTTTATATTTTAATCGATTGCAGTTTTTTTTTATGAGATAAGCCTGTAAACGGGCATCCTGATGGTAAACAATGGGCGTCGCCCATGGTCACCCGAAACACCAGATGCGTTACAAGTGCGTTACCGGCCTTTTGGGAATTGGAGTTTGAGGATTTTGGGGATTCGGGGATTGAGGAGACTGGGGAAGGGGGTAATTGGGCCTCCGGTAACCTCACTCACACGACGAAACACAACGCAAGCGTTGTTTCACGTCTGTTTTCTGTGAGGCCGTGGTATCACTCCGGTCGAGCCGGCCCATTCGTGCCGGCCGTGCCGAAGCATGGCTCTCCCACACTTACAACAGTTACTTCCGATAACATCGACCTCAGACCTTATTATGCGTAATTATAGTGGAATATATGCAATGAATACTCAAAAGTATCTAAGGAAAGAATTCTATTGATCGTTTTCCATTTATGTTAACGTACACCCACGCGCGTTCATCAAATGAAGGCGTAGGTTTTACCATAATTTACTTTGTGCTTTTTACGAACATACAAAGGTACAAATTCAATATTCTTTTATAGATATTTGTTTCTCCGCATGTAGATTTCGAAACATATAATCCGGTTTGGTTAAATTTCACACGATTGATCCAGAAATTTCCGCGAAAATGTTACAAAAAAAGTGAATTTAAGTTCACTCTTTTTGAAATGTTATCTGCCTTGTTTATTATTTTAATGGAAGTAACTACGTAGGTGTTGGTATGAAAAATTCATAAATATTTAGACGCTTAAGCAAAAATATGTCTTGTCCTTTTAGTATTAAAACCGTTTATTAAATAAAGTTTCAATAAGGAGGTCGGAGTAAAAAAGGCTCTTTCGTTTGCACGTTTTAATAAAGGCATGTCTACACTAAAAGAAGATGTTTAAAGAATTTGTCGTTTGTAAATAAGTACTTAATATTTCTATTTCTTCCTCGTCGAATAAAAATAAACGCTATGTCTATTGCTCAGTAGGTACCTACTTCAAAAATATTTGCCATTTTGAATAAAAACTAGTTCTGGCTTTGAAAATGTTAGCAATTTTTGGCTCCGACAGAAAAATAAATAATGTATTTTGAACTTTACGATATAAACTGAATTCTTAAAGTTTCCACCTACCATAAAAAACAAAGTGTAAATAAATAACAACTGTCTCTTACACCTCGACGTGAAAAATCACCCCCAACTCTTATGTTTCCAGGTTCTACGCCTCAGAAATTGCGATCGGTCTATTCTTCCTTCATTCCCGCGGCATCGTGTACCGTGACCTCAAACTGGACAACGTACTCCTCGACCAGGACGGCCATATTAAAATCGCTGACTTCGGCATGTGCAAGGAAGGGATAACCGGCGACAAAACTACCAAGACCTTCTGCGGTACCCCAGATTATATCGCACCGGAGATCATTTTATACCAGCCGTATGGAAAGTCCGTTGATTGGTGGGCCTATGGTGTGCTGTTGTATGAGATGCTGGTCGGACAGCCGCCGTTTGATGGAGAAGATGAGGAGGAGCTGTTCGCTGCTATTACTGATAATAGCGTGTCTTACCCCAAGACACTGAGTAAGGTTAGTTATTTGCAGTCTCCTCATCACTCGTATATTAGCGTTTCTGGTCATCTGTAAACTTTCAAATTGTGAGTTTTTTATTCTCTTCTTCAAATTTTTGAACATCTGCTAAACCAGATTAGTTACAACTGGATTGTGGGCCTTTTGTGAGGGATTGGGCTTCCTGGACCTCTTTATCGGTTAACTTTAAGACTGTGATATCACTTCGTTCGTGCCGTTCCGAAGCATAGCTTTCCTATATGACAAACACTTATAATCCTATTATCACTTTGCAGGAAGCCAAAGACGCTTGCAAGGCATTCCTCACAAAGAACCCACAGAAGCGACTGGGCTGCAACGCTCGCGGTGAGGAGGACGTGCGCACCCATCCGTTCTTCCGCCGCATCGACTGGGCGCGCATTGAGGCCCGTGACGTACAGCCACCGTTCAAGCCTAAGATTGTAAGTTGTTGTTTTTGGCAGCTTTTAGTTCTAGTTTGGCGGCGCTGGTATAGGATTAAGTTTTGTCTGATTACTAATTATTTAAAGTAATTAAAGTAAAATGACCTAGTAGCTCATTGATGGTAGCGGATATTATAACATATTAGTTTAAGTGGATTTGATATGATATATTGTAATTATCACTAGAAATTAAATTGAATTGAGTTTCATATTGATGAAGAATCCGGTTAAACATTTTTTGGGCAATAGCCTGCATCGACACGCATTATTTTTTTTTAAACACAAGATAGACATTTTTTAAACAAATTTCAAACTAACTTATATTTAAATAATTTTCAGAAACATCGCAAGGACGTGTCGAACTTCGACAAGCAGTTCACTCAGGAGAAGACGGAACTGACACCGACGGACAAACTATTCATGATGAACCTCGACCAGACCGAGTTCATGGGCTTCTCTTTCCTCAACCCCGAGTTTGTGCAGCACGTCTGAGCTACCACGGTAAGATAATTTATAAGGCAATTTTTATCTGTTTCTCATCCTTTTGGTCATTAATACTGTACGGTATGCACCAAAAGCTGAACAAATCTAGTTGTGTAAGATACCTTATGAGCATTGCGCTAACTTTTGCGCATTGTTTTTGCGCTACAGTGCAAGCTCAGTATTTTTACTACTATTCTCTTTGTGACTACTCTATGTTGATGAGAGTAGAGTGTAGGTTATTATTTGTTTCATTTTTCTGACAAAATCAACTGTGCCAACTGTCCCAACTGACAAGTCTTGTATTTAGATGCAGTGTACGTTTTCTGGGGACGACGTGTCTGATTTAAGAATTCATCTTCACTAATAGTATAAAGATATATAGATTTTTTTTTTGTTTATTTATTTGTTTGTTTCAATTGAATCTCCTCCGAAATTACCGGACCGATTTGAATAATTCGTTTACCTTGGAATCCTACATCATCGATGATGAACATAGACTATACTTAATTTCTCATAAAAATAATACAATTTACTTATATAAGAAAACATGATAACTTAAAATTAGAGTACAGAGTATGAGCATGCGGGCGATACATTGAACTTTTTTCTACTAAAATTTCTTTGTATCTTATTTCATTTTATTAAATTATACCTACACAAACAACTATTTTTTATGAAACTTTGAAGATATTGTAATGACTAAACCTTTTTCCCATTCCAGGGTTGAAATCTTTCCTCATTATTGGACTGGCTGTGTGGCGGGGCGCAGACCCTGGTACGAGTCAGCATTTCACTCCATCTGTCGACTGTCTCTGTCACTCATACGGCGCGAGTCGTTCGCTGTCTCACTCTCGACTGTACATTAAGTTCTGACGATTAGCTATCATTGTATGATTCTTGAGGGAATGCCACTCTAAGGCTCTTCGAAATGACGATTAGATAGGAGGTATTTGCTCATTCCCGTTAATTTTACTACTCTTGTTTTAGGTCGATGATATTCTACATCCAATACGACATGACTTACATTTCGTTTTAATGTTGAAATTCTTATACTTCGATTAAACGAGGTACTTAAAAATATCGTATTTATAGGCCAACGTATTTGAGGTTGTAGCAAACATTTTACACGCGACGCCAAGCCATTGAATCGAAATACGTTGTGTGGGATTGTGGGGTAAAAATAAAAAAAAAACAACACATGAATCCCCGGGTAACTGAGTACTTTCGGCGCTTTAAAACATGCGATATTTTTAAAACTACCCTTTCAATGCCAGCGCATGATTTAGTTGCTATTAAAATTTGGTAGTAGCTATATAATGTTGCCATTTTTTTGTCGAAGTGTAGAAGAATTGTTAATCTAAGAGTAGTCATTTGTTTTAGTATAATTTCTCGCAATAATTAATTTATTTAAATGCAATATTAAAAGTAATGGAATCGGTATGTAATCCAACGAATTTCGCTAAGCAATATTAATTCGAGTAAAAAGTTATCGATGAATTTTTGCTCTCTACGTATTTGGCAATATTATTTGGGCATTTTATTAATGTATGAATATTATTTATTTATTTTATGTTTAACATGAGAATCATAATCAGAATCTCGACACATGGCAATCTCTAATATCATGATCTTGGGGCCACTTGATATAATAAATGTTATTCACCACTCAGTGTTTATACCTTCTGTCAAAATATACTCTATTAGAAGTTCGTTAAAGTTTATAATCGCTTGCTGTTTTGACAGATCGCGTCAAACTGTGTGGTTGTTCGTTTTCGTTTTAATTTTAATCATGTTATTATCACATATCAGTGTTGTTTATATTGTAAATACTGTCGTGTCGTGTGGATGCCGATATTGTTATGCGATTTGGATATCCATGAGTTAAAGAAACATATTTAGCCTACGCTATTATACCAAAACGATCGCTTGAAAATCTTTTTAGATCGTCTAGCCTATTTATAATAAAATTTTAGAAAATATTAATAAATAAATTTCGCTGAAGACATGAATATTGCTAACTATCTATTGTGAGGGTATGGTTGTTTAATATTGTTAAAATTAGATTGGATTTTAATGGTAGCAGCGTAAGCTAAATATGTTCACTTTCTGTCTCTTATTATTATTAATTTCGCTCATTGTATTTGAATCTCGTCTCTTCTTGTATAGTTGAAGTGTTCAATTGTTGTCTCAGATCATTTCAGTGCGATTTTTTTTCTTTTTGGCCGAATGAGGTCGTATTATTTAGTTTTTATTGTCTATGGTACCACGTTATTTGCTTTTAATATTTCCCCACAGTATCGTGATTGCGTTGAATGACGTATGTATGTATGGATGATCTAATCGTGTATCGTATTAGCTTGACTGTTAGCTTGTATGCGTGTGATCTGATGTCTGTTTACTTGTGTGCGTGAGAGAGGAATTTCGTTTCGATTCGATTTGTATCGATATTATAAGATTACATTACACATAATTTGAACTCGAAAAGTCATCATAAAATAGTATTATTCATGTACTTACTCTATTTTACTGAAATAATTATGTTGGGAGTTAGTATTTAAATTTATCCGACAGTATTTATTTTATCATTTTAAGTTTTAATTCAAAATAATTGTTATCCTCTTATAATATCGTTACAAGTTGCTAACAGCATTTAGCTGTCAATAATCGTCTACTAAAATAGCCTTACTAACTTAATTAATAATTAATTAATCGCTAATAAAAAAATAAATTTTAAAAATCGTATATAAACTCTTGCTAGATTAATCGTTGTGGAAATAAAAATGAAAAAGAAAGCATTTGATTCTAAATTGAAATGTAATAAAATGACATTTAGGTGTTTTTGGTTTTTACTTTATTATTATTATTATAGTGTATTTTAGCTTAATTATTATAATATTAATTAATTATTATCTTTCAATAGTAGTTTCGATTTGCCGCGCATTCCCAATGCGGTTTTGCTAATCATAATTAGATGTAATAGTAATTTTTAAAATTCTTTTTTGTAGTTTTAAGATGTATTAATTTAAGGATGCTGGCTTACTTTCACATTGACATTGCATTTTAAATTTTATTTACTATATCTACAACATCAATTTGAATATCAAACAACTATCTTTGAATAAGTCACAAAAGTGGTCATGCTATAGAACATAGACAACCTACATTTTTACATTGGCCACATTGCAAAATCATTCTAAATACAAATTGACAGTTTATTATATTTTTTGTTTGTTATCTCTTGCAAGTAACAATTACCTTGATATTAAACCTCCTTATTGTTAATACTAGATGTGAAAATAAGCCAGTATCGTAGGTTAACAACAGCTGGAGCGGGAGACAACGTAGCGGGCGCACATCGCGCTACCCAACCCATCCCTGTCCCTGTAAGTACCGCCGTACGTACAGCTTGACATACCCCGTGATCCTGTCTTGTTATAAACACTTTTAAATTTATATTAACGCCATTTTTTATTGTACACGTACAAATCAACAGGTCAACCAGCTCATTACCTGTTTTGTAATAAAGCTTTTTGAGGATATAACGTCGCGAAATTGGCCTAAATCGACGTAAATATAGTTCAAGGAACATCTTTTTGTAATGCCCTCTTGCAGGCTGGTCTTTATAAGTGGGCTGTTTTGATTGACATAATGAATGAAGTGACCAAATAATTGGATTTCTTATATTAATGATCTTTATTAACATTACCTACGCATTACAAACAGCGTCCACGTCATTTTTATCATGGTTCACTATAATTACATTTAGAAGTGTTTATATCAAAACTATAAACTTCACATCCTCCACCCAGCTACATTATTTCTTTATATTTAGTATAGTTAGCGAACTTTCTCTTCATTTCGAGTACCTTAAAGTGAAAAAGACCTGAAAGTGTGGACCAATACCAATAAAATGATTAAAACATTTTTACTTCTAGCAACACTAACATTTGTTGCTGTCAATTCACAATCACAGATAACAAAATGGTTAATTATATGTCAAAGAAACGTCACTCGTCTTAATAATCATACCACACAGGTACTCCTATACTTTCATTACTTCTATCTAGTGTCTGCTAGCTTACGCCTTTAACACCCTATTTTATTCTGACTTGGTCAATAATAGTTATAATATAATATTTAAAAAGTTTATAAAACTTATAGTTATTTATTTATCTAACCGTTATTGTAAGATCTCACTTGTAAATAAGGCATAGTTACGATTTTAAGCCTTTGAACACGCCATTCTGTTGCTTAAGCTGACAGATCAAAATATGTCGGCGCGTGAGTGTAATTTTATTCACCTTCTGGTCATAATATTAAGTCATTTCCATATATAATCCGTTGAATAAATTCTAGTGTAAGTTTTTAATATTAAGATGTATTATCGAGTTTCCGAACCTGTAATAGGCTTGCTTCATATGCTTCGACATTATTTTTAGTCAAGTGACGTTTGTAGATTTTCAAAACATATTCAGCTCTAGTACGACGATACTCAAACGATACTCAACTTTAAGTAGTCCATAGAAGTCTCAGCAATACTCCATTGAAGAACAAAGACTTCACGGGGTCTTAAAATAAAATGCAACTTAAATATTGAGTAACATTTGTGTGTTCGGGCATCCATCACTAGTTACCCTGTAAAAAAGGATTGTCAATATTCCATTTCTGGGTATAAATGAAAAAAGAAATTTATGGATACTAGGAACTAGGCAATGGATTGAAGGAGTATGAATACTCTTGTCTTTAAAACGTTGAATAGTTAATGTATGTGTTCAGTGAGAATTAGTTTTAATATCTTGATATTATTTAGTATAGCGTTATGATATCATGTTAGTATTAGGTTGCTGTCAGTCCTTTATCACGCGAACTTCGGAATATTTGCATACAGAAATATGTTTACAGTGTGGGGCGAATCTTGTTAATTCATATAATTTATTAACATTTTGTTCTAGTAACATAATATAATTATTGTAAAACGACACTAACCGGCATTGCTTGAATAAGTATTAAGATTGTATTGTGTATATTTTGATTTTTGTGATAATTATTTTCAATGTAAAGCGAGGGAAATCATGAAAAATTGTTAGTAATCAATTTGAGATATTATTTATTTAGATTTTTTCTTTAATATCTCATTAATAGGCCTAAACCTTTCTATAGATTAAGCCCGTAGTAAATACAGGTGTTAGTATACTTTTGAAATATTTTACTAATGGATATTCAAGTGTTTTAAATTTTACAAAGACGATGTCGCTAAGCACCATCACCTGTGCCAAAAATATGTAAATATTTTCCGTGATAAATTAGTATTCTATTGAATATTTGTAACCAATCATTTTTATCTTGCTACTTATATTTTGTGGCTCTGTATTTTATTAGTGGTAATTTCGTACCAATATTTTTTGCGCTGGTAACTCTGAAGCTGAAAAGACAGTAATTTAACTTCACAGACTATAAAACCTACTTGCTGTTAAAAAATAATGTCATGAATTGGAAGAATACACTAATAAAATAAAAGAGCAATCACTTCTCACATTATACTATTTTGCACCTTATCCAATTATGTAAGCAAATAATAAAGCACCATTTTAGTAACTTGTAATCGTACACTGTTATTTTATTCCAAAGGTTTTGTAATCGTTGTTTAAAGTTTAATTCGATTAAACAATAAATCATTCTCTTTGAATATACTGCCACCATAAATATTTTAAGCTTACCTTTACCGTAAATTACACTTTAAACAACGATAAGAATCAATTTTGAATGAATATTACTCAAGAAATGTTTGTATTATTAAATATCTGTATTTGCAATGCTTCATTGAATTTTAAAACTACACTGCAACTATTTCTGTGATAAATCATCCTTCACAAGCATAGAAGAGTTGCTTAGAATTAAAAATATTTTGATAAATTGTAATACGAAAATCTCAATTGATATCTCACAAAAACTTCATTGTTGTTTTTTAGAAAAACATGTGCCAAAAATATTAGTATTTCATCAATTTTAGTTACACATGTCTTTGAAACCTAAGCAACTCTCCTTTGTGCAATTTAGAGGTCTATTCGAATTGGCGCGAAATAAGTAAGTTGGTGTAGTGAATGACATTGAAAAGCGCGCGAATTTTGATAAGAGCCGCCATGTTTGAAAAGACCTATTTTTAATGTAAAGTGCACTTTCAATTTCCGTTAGTCTATCGTCGTCGCCTCTCACTAGGATTAATTAATAATTATTATTAAAGTTTTGAATTTTAACCAATTTGCGATGATAAAATATGGTTGTGTGCGGATACAGCTACTAAAGTATGAATAAAGTGTCTGCACGCGATCATGGTTTATGAGATTTTATTGCATATTCTATTATTAATATCGATAGTGTAGTAACAGTATTTCGATTTGTAGTATTAAATTTGTCATTTTCAAGGATTTTTGGGGCATGTAGCCATGTGTTGGGGAGTGTAGCCAAGTGCCGGGGCGGACAGCCGCGCGCTGGAATCTCTCTCGGTAGATCTGTGACTGAGATCTCTGGTTGTTTGTATGGATTTTCTCGGAGGTGAATGTCGATTGTACTCAACAATATAAATTTCTAATCCATTAGATTTTATCTGTGTTTTATTTATAAACTAAAATCCCTTAATTACTAGTTCTTGTTGCAACAATAAGGTACAATACAAAAGTTAAAATTATAGATTAATATTATAATTTGATCTCCTTTTCTCCTCTCATCACTTGGCTGAGCATCTGGTTGCATAACGCTGCGTATGGGTTCAGTTCAACTACCTGTAATTGTAAATGAAAACTAATAAGTAAGAGAAAACACAAAGGAATTTAGCTGCATTACAGACCTTATTTCCGATGTTTAGACACTACTTTTGTATGAACAAATTTAGGGTATGATATTTCAACAGGTTAGAGAGTAAACAGATTCTGACAAATAGATAACGCTCAGTAGCTAGCTATTACTATACCCAATAGTGCAAGAATACGGGCAAATGATGATGAAAGAGATAAAAAATCTGGTAATAGGTATTATAGGAACAAGAAATTACAAACAAATCATCTAATACACATAGTATAAGGTACCCACCTGTTTCTTAGCAAAACTGCTGCCCAGTTTAGCAGCTTCAGTGAAAACTGCGCGCGCATCGTCATCGTTCCCTTGCTTGCGCAGGAGCACGCCGTGCTGACATAGCGCTAGAGCGCGTGCGCGAGTTTTCTTATCCTTCGTCAGGTCTAGAGCACGATTGAGGTCTGCCATAGCATCTGAAATTGATTAACTAACTTGATTAATTGAATTGTTAAAGACTACTGATTAGACGTTGAATAAACGACAAAAAATGGGTTTTTTGAGGAAGTACAAGATGTGTCTATCATTACTGGCATATATCTTGACTGGCTGCCTTAGAGGAGTAAGCATTATTCAGACTTTTTATACAGATTTCAGAACTGTGAATTTAGAAAATCAGATAATCTAGTTAGGTACATCTACATTTATGTATAGGCTATACACCTACCTAAATAGAGCCGCTGTTCGAAGTAGGTACCTACAAAAAAGTAAACATGTCAACACTTACCATCATCCTTCATCATCATGCGCAGTAGCTGTGCCCTGTCGTTGTACGCTGCAGCCCGGTCCGGCGCAGCCTGCACCGCTCTGGTCATGGCCGCTAACGCGTCATCCAGTTTGCCGGCCTCCGCCAACCGAACTCCTTCGGCAGAGAGCGCTATGGACTCCTTGAAAGCATCAGTGGTTGGTTCTGGGAAAAATGAGTGAGGAGAGTGGTTAGATAGGACACAAAAAGGTAAGTCTAATAGTGCAGGTAGTATAAGGAAAGACACCAATGATTTATTTAGTTTACTGAGAATTTTCGCTAATGATTGATGCTCCTTTTATATCACAAAGTTTACAATGAATCTTCGAATATCGAAATCTTGCAATATTTCAAGGTCTAGCCAAAAAAATAACTAGATTTTCGTAAAGCCCCACGCCAAAAAAATTTGGTAATCGAGGGTTAGGGTGGAAGTGACGCTGGGCTGGAATGAACCCACTCATAAAATCTCGACACACCGTAGAAGAATGAAATGAAATGACTACTACCAAACTCTCTTCTCTTCTATCTACTGACAAAGTCTGTCTCTTTTAAATATTGTGGTGTGTAAAGGGGTAGTGGTCTTTGGAGAAAAGAAACACACCAGTTTGACAGAGCGGCGCACCGCATGTATTAGGTTATAATCAGCTCAACGAATATAACAAGATCATAAACTCAGCAAGCATTTCAAGTGTCTATAAATCATATCGAATCCCGCTTCATGCTAGTCACGTCTCCAGTACAAACGTCTGAGTATTGCATTACACCCATTAATTTGTTTGACGCTAATAATAATACAAATTAGCAAACTGTGAACGGGTAGAAATAATTTAAATAATGACGAACTCGAGGAAATAATTTGAGTTATAAATGTAAAGGTTGAATGTTATGCAAGGTTTTCAATTAAATATGTAGGTGCTTCGAATTTAATTGAACCACAGAACGTCAATGATGTAATTGAGGCTGTATAGCAAGTCATATCTTATTTTAACTTTACGCCTGTCTCCCATGGGGGTAGGCAGAGACAATGGAACGCCAATTATTACGATTCCTACATACCTCTTTCGCTTCATCAACAGTCATCAATCTTTTCATGTACCTATGCTCGTCGGTTAAGGGTACTTTTAATTTGGCCCTCCTTTAATATATCGCCAATCTGGTCAGTATATGTCCGTCTAGGGCGCCTCCTACCGAACATCTTTCATCTTTTGTTACTCTACTTTCATCCATCCTTTCATTATTAATTTTTTTTTAATCTTACGTATGATACATTCATAAGATATATGCATTATTAGACACTGAAATTTTATTTTGTTGATGTTCTTTATTCGCTGTTTATATATTTCACTAACATAACTAGTTATAAGTGTCATTTTTAATAACCCAATATGGACCAATTAGTATGAAATAAATGATTTATTATTAATATTATATTAATGTATGTAACATCAATCCCGAGACCCTTTGCTCAGCAGACGAGCATACAACTACTCGACTAATCAACCAACAAGGCAAGATAAATTGATATAAAGTTTCAATCTCTTGCAGTAGGTACCTATCTCGTCAGGTAGGAACCGTGACTTTTTTTACTGTCAATTAAGTTAGAAGGATGAAATAAAAAAAGGTGGCAAAGAACCTTTTTTAGAGGTGTGGGAACATAAACTGTAGATACTTACAATCACTAAAGGCCCAGTTTCACAAGTCCCATAGACCAACTTAGCAAACAATAATGAATTGCAATTTGTAGTACCGAGGTAGCTTGCCTTTTTGTTACATTGTAGTAAGTTAGTACTTAGGCTTAGTACTTATGTAATACTAGCTTCTGCCCACGACTTTGTACATGCAATCCCGTTTTCTTTCGTTCCCATATGATATTCAAGATTTTTTTTCTGATATAAGAACCTTTTCCTTATAATAACAAATACTTACAACAAAACAAAAATAGTGAAATGGGTCCAGCCGCCGCAATTGATGGCGTGACCAAGGGATATAGAGATTCATTTTTTAGAAATTTAGAACCTTTATCAAAATACAAATACAAATATCTATCTACAGACAAATATCACATTAATATTATAAAATGTGAAAGTTTATTTGTTTATATGTTTGTCCGTCAATCACGCTAAACTACTGAGCTGATTTTGATAAAATTTGGTATGGAAACAGGGTATAGGCTAACTTAGGCGATAGGATACTATTTTATCCCGATTAAATGCTCCCATGGGATAAAACAGGAATCATATTCTATGCCGGACGAGTCGCGCGCAACAGCTAGATATCTACATAAAAACCTATTCAACATACCTTCTTCTTCTTCAACAAACTTGTCTGCAGCAGCATCTTCAACGACATCAGCAGCTATGGTAGCTGTAGGATCAAATATGCTCCGAAGCACCGCTTTATCTCTCTCGCTGAGGTGATCCAAGGCCGCCATGTTATCAACACGACCGTCCCGGCATAACTCTTGTCGTCAACTAACAGGATTGCGAACCAGTTTTCTATCGAATTAATGATGCTGCTGGTTTTGTTGTGGTCTTGTGAATATATGAGGGACCTTTGGTTTTGTCTACAATATTTTCTGTTTGAGAACTATGGTGTTTATATCGTTGGTTGAATTGATCCAAGTGTTATTAGAACGATGGATTTCATGGGATTCGATACCAGGATAGAAAAAGATATATTTGGGGTTTTCAGATTTTCTCAGCTGTAGCTCGGAGTCTGCAATCGTGCCCGGTGTATGGGAATAACCCTATTAAGCATTACTACCTATTACAATCAGGATCTATAACATGAGACAATGGGACTCAAATGATAACTCATGAAAAGCAAGTGCTGCCGCAGCTGCTGCCGATGTTTTTGAACTTGAACAAGCCCCAAACATCCTGATAAAGTAAATCCATAAAATAACTTGATTTTTTAATGATATAAGCCGGTAAACAAGCAGACGGATCGCCTGATGGTAAGCAATCGGCGTCGCTCATAGAAACTCGGATTCCCAGTGGCGTTAAATGTGCGTTACCGGCCTTTTGGGGATTAGGAGTCTGAGGATTATGGGAGATTCGGGGATTGGGGAGACTGGGGAAGGGGGTAATTGGGCCTCCGGTAACCTCACTCACACGACGAAACACAACGCAAGCGTTGTTTCGCGTCTTTTTTCTGTGAGGCCGTGGTATCACTCCGGTCGAGCCAGCCCATTCGTGCCGTAGCATGGTTCTCGCACAATTAAAACATCATTACTACCCACCCAGAAAAAAGAAGCGATTCTTAAATGACACAAATTTACTCAAGGACCAAAGAAGGGACAAGTCGCATAGACACGTTTACCTGTTTTTATATAGCGATTTTATCTAACACAACAAGATTGTGAGAATGTTAATATATTACATTTTATAAGTATTAAATACGGACTTGTATCAACATTATGTAAATTTTTAAGAACTGGTTGTCTGTTTATTATATTATAACGTTTTGCGCACAAGTCGAAGTAACCAGACCGACATACGTAATATTATTATGAATAAAATAATAATTTATAAATAATATTATTGATAGAGCTTTAAAAAGAGAATATTTCTTAATAACAACATAACATAGACTGCACAGTTGGTGCGGTGGCTGGGCAACCGGCTGCCGTGCAACGTGTCGCGGTTTCGATTCCCACTCGACAGAACAACACTTTGTGTGATCCACAAATTGTTGTTTCGGGTCTGGGTGGGTGTCATGTGTATGTGAACTTCTATGTTTGTAAACGCACCCACGACACAGGAGAAAATCCTAGTGTGGGGCAACGTTTTTTTTTTTAAATAAATAAAAATATAAAGGAAACATAACATCACACCTTTCATCCCTGAAGGGGTAGGCAGAGGTGCACATTACGGCACTTAATGCCACTGTACAATGTAACACCCACTTTTCACTATTTATATTATGAGTCCATGTAGAGATGTAGTCATTCGATGATTGGCCCCCCTTAAAAATGTCTACTAGAATTAAGGGGTGAGTGTATTACCATACACAAGAAACAATTCTAGACATTCTGTTATGACATAGATATTGACAAAAAAGAATCCCCCGACTTGGGCATCGAACCGGAAATCCTTTAATATGCAGTGGCTCTTATGACTATTGGAACAAGGTTGTCAAAGACCGGACATTTGCAATTCTTACAAAATATAAACGCAATGTGACATTTAATTTTCGTGGGAATCAGACCAATAGTTTTCATAACATTATTAAGAAATGCCTCGTTGATCGTGTGGTCGAAAGTGCGACTGCCGGGCAAAGTATTACTGGGTTTTAAAAAAAATCTCAGTAGTTGCACGGAGCTTGGAAATGTGCCAGGTATATGGCAATAGGCTCACCCCCTATTACATGGAACTCATAACATAAATAGTGAAAAGTGGGTGTTACATTGTACAGTGACACTAAGTGCCGTAATGTGCACCTCTGCCTACCCCTCCGGGTAAAAATAAGGCGTGACGTTATGTTATGTCTGAACCGATTTTGATGCGGTGGTCAGGAAAGTGTTCGTTACACTTAAAAGAAGGTTTTAGTATATAGTAATTAACCGACTTTAAAAAAAGAGGGGTTGAAAGTGGTTTTTTTAAACGTAAGTAGTTAATGAATGAGTTTTATATAATGTAATACAACACTTAGAATAAGGGATGGTATTCGACACTTCGGTCAATAAAAGAAATTGCTTTAAAATATCGAAATGACTAATGTTTTATTTTAAAATAAATAAATTATTGTTACAATAATATCGTTTATTTCATAGTTAGGTAGGTAAGATGGTAATTGTAGCTATATAGTCTTAAATAAACATTAATTTATGAACATGTACAAACTGTCTATAAACACTTTAAGATGCGATAAATTAATGAACATACATACATGGGTACTTGAACGTCATACGGTTGAATACTGAAAGGCTACTCATAGGGTAGTTTTCTAAATTTTATTTTGCCTACTGTCCGTCTGGTAAATTAATTTAAAACATTAGACACGTATTTTTTCTTTTCTCACAAAATTAAATACTTTCGACGATATATTAATTTGAAATACCGTGTGACGTCACAGCGTGCCACATTTTGTAGCACATTATGACGTAACGACCTTCCACTCCTAAACTTAGCGCCATTTTATCTAAGTATTGCAACTTAATACGAAAAGATAAAAAATTACGTGTCTAATATTTTTTCATTATCTAACTGACGGACTAATTACATTTTTAATTTTGACATCCTGGAAACTACCCAATTTTAAGTTATCGTGCCATCTCTATCATTTTACAAGGAATTTGTAGTGATAGAACTATTCCTTTTTAAGGAATAGGAGGGAAACGAGCAGACGGATCACCTGATGGTAAGCGATCAGCGCCGCCCATGGACACCCACAACACCAGAGGAGCGAAAGGTGCGTTGCCGGCCTTTTAAAAAGGAATACGCTCTTTTCTTCAAGGTTTGAAGGTACACACGGCTACACATCGAGCTTTACATAACCAGTATAAACTGAACGTTAAATGTGCGGAAAGATGATGCGACGCGACACCAGGATAAACTGGTATTGTATAGATTGATGTGTAGCCGTGTGTACAAGCGCGACTTAAAATTGAGTGTGTTCTTTGAGTATTTTAACGCTAGAGAATTTTCTATAAATACAGTTTAAACAGTATCGTTTATTGTTTGTTATCTACATCTAAAAATAAGTCGGGTTTTCCTTCCTGACGCTATAACTCCAGAACGCATGAACCGATTTCCACGGTTTTGCATTCGTTGGAAAGGTCTCGGGCTCCGTGAGGTTTATAGTAAAGAAAATTCACTAATCACGAAACGAAATGTTACATAAAACGAAGCCATCTGGTAGCGAAACGGAGTTCGCCGGGTTTCTACTATATAAACATAAGTCGGGTTTTCCTTCCTGACGCTATAATTCCAGAATGCACGAGCCAATTTCAACGGTTTTCCATTCATTGGAAAGGTCTCGGGCTCCGTGAGGTTTATAACAAAGAAAATTCAGGAAAAATGTTTCTTCATCTTTTAATCACCAAACGAAATGTTACATAAAACAAAGCCATCTGGTGGCGAAACGACGTTCGCCGGGTTTGCTAGTTATTTATTAAACTGAATTCAAAAACCCAGACCTGCAATTTTTTACAAACATGAGTTGCTTTATTAGACTTTCAACCTTATTACTTTAAACTGAAAATCTATTATTGGAATTGTTAGCCTAGTGACTTCTATTGGCATCGTTGGAGACTTCGAGGATCGAAAAAAATAAATGACTATCTCAAACATCGTCCCCTACTGATATTTTTTGTATAAACGAATCTTAATACATAGGTACTTAAGATTCAAAATTCTATGCATAAAATGCTGCGTAAATTCTGAGCTCACTATTCCGTTTGTTTATCCAATTTGGACTCTATTCCCTTAGTAATAGGAAAATATTTTATTTATCTTTGCATCAGTAACAGTTACAAGGAGTAAAATAGTTTTTGTTTTAATTTTAGTTATATTTCATCGCATTAACAATTTAAGAATAAATAATTGCATGAAAGACCATCTTCTTGTATTTTTGAACCTAACGATTTTCATAGATAACCGTAAGGTAAATTTAAAAAAAAAAAATTCAACAGCAAAATTATTCGTTTGTGCTGTGGCCAGCAAGTCAACCTATTCCAAATCGCTCTATTACATCTTCAACTTTATTGCATTGAGATACAGTCGAAAATGCAATGAATATATTTGACAGATTGGAGTAGGTTCATCTACTAGCCTCTGTACCAAACATTATTTCGTATTATAGAACACAGGATCTTAAAACTAAAAGAATCAATATTATAATAAATAATAATTTTAATTTCATTTACATTTTTCATTTCCACGTACATTTTAAAATACAAAGAATTCAATTTGAAAATGTTTGGCAAGAAACTTTAAGGGACTTCACTAACGCCATCTATCCACGATGCAAAGAACTACTTAAGTAACAATTAGGTCAACTGAAGCGGGACAAACACGTTACTAAAATTTTATTATTTTTCAAAGACAAAACTTTTCTTGACTAATTAATATCGTCTATTTCGTATTATTCGTCCTGTTTATTCATTTTCTGTAGTAAGAGACGAAATTACGGGCCACGACTTTCACTTTTTTTCAACTGGTAAGAAATTAAAAATCAAAAAACCGAATACAACTTTTTCGATTAGGATTTTACCCACAGCCTCATTCAGCTTTCGCCGTGAACCGAGTGTTTCTAGTCTTCTCGTCCAAAGTTTTATTGATAGAGTAACATTACCAAAACAAACTATCTGATGCCATGACAGTATGTCTTGAGCCGAAGGAAATAAAACTCAAAATCGGTTACCACAACTGCAACGTCATTGCAAATACTGTACACACGTTCTAATTGATATTAGATTGGCACCTTAAT